TAACCTGCGGGTTGGCTTTGGAAATCCTGCGGGGTCTTTGCACCCGTCTTTCTCATCCCCTCCGGAAATCCTGCGGGCTCTTTCCAACCTTTCTTCTCGGGCTTCTAACCTCTTTCTTCTCTCCGCAAGTGCCACTCCATCTGTATCCCTCTTCTCTAAGTGCAGCAACTTTAGGGTGTCGTCATTTTGTTTGCAAGAGTCGTTTGTATTGGTGTAAGTTTTTTTTTTGTATAGTTTAAATTGAAATGTAAGAGTTTGTTCTTCATTTTTCTCGTCCTTAGTCGTTTTCGTCGGTAGAAGTCCGTATGTCTTTTGTGATCAAGAGATATAGGGTCCCCTATATTTTTTGGTCGCATCAAAAATCCATAATGAACTTGTCAAATCCCGAATACTAACGATGATATAAAATGACATGCTCAATGTCAAGGTGACTGTAGTCAATATCTGGCGGGGAATGACTGCTGTCTCTGTGGTGTTTTATCTCATGGTACTACATTTGTAAGAAATGAGGGTGGACAAGGTTACCATTTTTTTTTCAGAACCTCATTTGAAGATATTTCTAACCTGCAACATTTAAGAAATCTCTTGTCTTATAAAGTTTGACTGTCACTATCTCAACATGCATGCTCCAGAGGCAATCATCATCATCTTCTGATCATTCATGGACGCAATACTAAAGATCTCATTCGTATTCGTCTTTTGATCCAGCAGGGTGTCACCGACTCGTGCTATACAAGTATATATTCTTCAGCTTGCATCATCGAATCTTTCTTTGTTGAGGGTGTCTTTAAGCATTTCCATACATAGCCAAAATATTTTGAATAACTCAAGTAAAATCTCCACAATATACTTCATGTCTTCAATGCACCTTTTAAATAACAGAGAGTAGGGGTGTAAAATTCGGATCACGAATCGGGTTTGGGTCGAATCCGGAACTGACCCGACACCATTCAGGTCAAGTTGGCATGACCCGTTATTCAGTTACAGCGGGCAGCGACGTGGATTCGCAGCGGGACGCAGTGGGTTCGCAGCGGGATGCGGTGCGGCGGGCCGGTGACAGCGGTGCAGTGGGCGGGCGGGCAGTTTCGCATGGGCAAGCGGGCAACTGGGCGGCGGGCAGACGTGACGTTCTACTCGCAAAGCGACGCGCACATGGGGACTCGCGAAGCAACGCAGGCAGCTTCGGTCAGGGCGGGCAGCGGGTCATTCCGGGTCATTATCGGGTTTTCGGGTCAACCTGAACCTGACTCGAGTTTTCAAACGGGTCGAAAACCTTATCCCGAACCCCACTCGGTTCGGGTCAACACGAACCCAAAATTTTCGGGTCGGGTTCGAGTCGGGTTTTCGGCTCGTTTCCAATATTGACACCCTAACAGAGAGTAAACATATTCCACCATCACTTGCATCCAAAAAATAAATTAAGGCTTGAATGGACCTTACAACTTTACAAGCCATCTAATAGGATAGGCTATTACAAACTACATGACATGTTAATACACAATTAACGAAACGTTAAAAGGACCCTATGCTCTGAATGACTTTTTTGGAAAATTATCAAATCACATGATTAAATATTTACTGTCATAATTTACTCATTACTGGTCAATTAATATATTCTTTTCATATAAATATAATACACCATAAGGTTCATAATGCCTAATTTAAATCATATTAAAACAATTTATTTAGATATGTAACAAATTATATACTTAATCAGTACAAATTATTTATAAATAAATTTACAATTATTTTATTTTCTTAAATATTGTTAAATTTGTGACTAATATTGATGTGAAACATATATAGAAATAAGAATTGCTTAGAAATTAATAACAAATTGTGAAGCTTTGATAATTGTAAACTCAATGATTCACCAAGATAAGAATCTAGGATTTCTTTATTGCAGTTGTGCTTTGGTTTTCAGTTGCACGAAAGATTAAAAGGACAATTTAAAATAAGAACAAAGAAAACGTAGTAACACTATATGCCGAATAACAAAATTCACCGTTTAACAAATAGAAAGTTAACCTCTAGTTTTCCTCTCTTTCACTCTTTATGGTGGGGTTAGTGGGAGAATAACTTCAGCAAGCCTAGAGATGCCACCAAAAGAAAGAGGACGCCTACGGTCTTGATAAACAAAAAGTTAGCTGGAGGGGAAGAAGCGGGTGGATGTCTGATGATTTGCCAATGTCCGGAGGGTTGGTATTCTTCAATAACAAACGTCAAAGTGAAGAGGATGCGATCGACGTAGTCGTCGACAGTGTCATCGATTTTCAAATTGATGTTTAAGAAGGGATATTGTAGAATATCCACTAAGCTTTGATGGTCGTAGATGAATCCGTGGTCACGCTCGGATCGGCCATCCATGGGGAAAAGAAGTCGCTTCAACTCTGGGGCGGGCCAAAGTGGTCGGCGGTTTGATGGAGAGGAAGGGAGGTCGGCCGATCTTGGGGAGCCTTGGGTTAGGGAGTTAGGTGGGGAGTTGAGTCACGAGGAGAAGAGGGAATTAACTCCTTGATTAATTGACCTTGAGTAATTAATAATTGGATTTGGAATTAAGTTGAAATAGGAGGGAGAATTTGAATTTAAATTTTCTTTAATGATAGAGGGAGAAAAGGGTTTAATTATCTCCCTAATTGGAGTCCTTAATGAGGAAGGACTTAATTAGAAAGAGGGGAAGAAAGGAGACGGCCATATAGGAAGGGAAGAGAAGCATCCACATACAATGTATGTGGACCCAAGCATTAAATGTGATTAGAAAATTAAATCTAATTTTAATTTCAGATTTGGAGTGATTGAGAGATTGTCAAAAATAGCCTTGTTAATTTATGAAAGTATTTGAAATTCAAATTTGTTTGAATTTGAATTTAAAAGAGTTTCCAAATTAAGAAACTCTAAATTAGGAAGGCATTAATATGGAGATCTGGGAAATAGAATCTAGGTGATCTGACTATCATGGCTGGCAGCTAGGGTGGGCTTGGGTAGGCCGGTGGCTTGAGATGGTTGGGGCAAGAAGCCTGGCGGTTTTGGAGGGTGGTGGGGTGTAAACTGGCGGGTGGAGCTTGGGGTGGCTTGGCCGACTAGTGTGGGGGAGAGGAAGGAGGTTGGTCGGCGGTAGGGGATGGGGCTTGGTGGAAGACCGGAGGTATGGGGGGTAAAGAAGGGAAGTAAGAAAGATAATGGATACGAACTGTCAGCCAGGCCACTATTCGTGGCTGACGGGTGATGCTTGACCCTCTCCTAGGGTTCTTTTTTTCTGAAGAGCTCACAAAACAATGAAACAAAGCCGAAATTTTTATCTATCAATCCTTTTCCCAATACAATGACTAAGGCCTTAATATATAGGCATCCAAAATAAAGAAAATAAAAGACTCAAATGCCCTCGGGGATACAATCTATAAGCAATCCCTAACAATGATACAAAGGTAAAAACTGAAATATAAATAAAAGAAAATACATAAATGTTTCATAAATAGAGTGTCTAAATCGTAGCCGTCGATCTACGATTATTCCGATGGTAGACGCGTCGAAATCTCCTACTGATGTCCCCATCAGATATACAATGTGAATTTTGTCAAAATAAGTATTACTCATATAGTAAATAAAAAATAATTATTAATTAATTTCAATCTTAATTTAAATATTTTTTAAGAACTTATTAACTAAAATTATTCTTATTAATAATGAAGTGGTAAATACATTAATCATTAATGAAAATTTTTAAAATATTAGAATAATACAATTTAAATATAAGATAAATTAACCGTTATTTTTTTAAAATACATTTTAAATCTTCTTTGAATACCATTAAATAATGATTTAAATTTTTAAAAAAATCATTTGGACTGAAACTTGAAAGCCGAGTTCCTAGTTGTATTGAAATCGGGTGGAGAAGATCCGGCTTCAATAGAAACTAGACATTGAAGTTTCAGTTTCTATTGAAACTGGATATTAAAGTTCCGATTTCTACTAAAACGCTTCATTATGTTCCAGTTTCATTAAACCAGATAATTAAGTTCCAGTTTATGAATACGGCATTCTGCTCCACGCATTTGTTCCTTTTTAAATTTTTTCCGTCAGCATACTCCTTAAGCTAATTTAAGCTTAAAACCGGCTCTTTTTCATAAATTGGCCAATAAGTATCTAGGTTATTCATGTTTTTTCAATTTAGTTCCAATGTATCACATTTCTCCAAATTACTGTATTGAGCATACAAAATTAATCCAAAATTGTCCCTCTTTTAATTATGATATAAACTAGATCCCAATTTATTTCAAGATTTTTTTTGATACATTTTTTATAATTGAGAATAAAATTGGAGCAAGGTGATATTCTGAGACTTAATTTTTCATATAAAATTTGTTAGGGTACTATTTTGAAGTTTACCTCCATCAATTAATTTAAATATAAACACACACACACACACACACACACACACATATATATATATATATATATATATATATATATATATATATATGATCCTAATAAAATATAGGATTTTATGAAAATACTTATAATCATATTCACAGAGTGAAAAATGTGGTATACAAATTTTAATACATCTTGAATTTTATCGTTTCCAAAATTTTGAGTATTACATGATATAGGTGTGCATGTATAGGTGATGGTGAAAAATGTGGAAGGAAGATAACAAAGAGGAGGATATATTATGATAATAAAAGTATATCTTCCAAATCCCAAACTTTCGTATGAGAACACGTTATAAATATAACCTATCAGCTTATTCTACTTCTCTTCTTTCTTCTTTCTGCCGTTGTCTGCATTACTCCTAAAGTAAGTTTGCAAGATGATTTCCTTTTCCTTTTGTCATTTTTTGCGCGGCAGTCGCAAGTTAATATTAAGCACAAAATCATTGATTGTAAGCTTGATTAAGTTTGCTGATGACGAGTCATCTTTATAAATCAGCAGTGGCTCTAAAAATATTTTTGAAAAGTTTTTTGTATTATCTCAAAATGTTTCATCCTTTGACAATCCAGGTCATAATTTTGAAGTCAACTGAAGCTTCGGACGCCGAGTGGTCTAGAGAAGTAAAAGGAAATATGTATGATATGGTTATTGAAGGATTTCAGCTTCTTAGTAGATTGACAGGACGGCTTTGGGAGCAGTGTGCTTGGAAGTTTTCTCGTCCTTGTAAGGATCCAGTGGCTTCAGATTCTCTTGGAGGCTCAACTACTTTTTTTGACTATGAAAAGGTTTTTCTTTTGGCCTTCTGAGTGTTCTTTTGTGGTTATGCGGTGCATTTTTGTTCCACTTTTTAAAACTTATTCATTTGTTTAGTGAGTCAGTGGACTTCTTTCTGAGATTATTGATGAATATTTAGTATTTAAAATAACATGTCCTTTGTATTTAGTTGTGATGCTCAGTTTTGCTTCTTTATTGTTATTTTTAACAATGCTTAATTCCTCTCTTTTCCAGGTGGATGGCTATTCTTGTTCATCATTACATTTGTTCTCAGGGTTGCTTTAGCATTAACTTCACTACTTTAACAACTGTATATTGATTGTGCCTATTAATCATGTTGCCATGACTTGAATCTGTTCATGGTTAAAATAATCAAGTATATTATGAAATAGTCTATTAATTTTTGTAACTTTGTATTAGTGAATCAGATTTAATCATTTGTTATCTGCTTATAATTTTTGTATTTCCTTGAAACTTATAATAGAGCAAATCTTGAGAAATTTCTTAGATCTTTGATTATCCAACATGCCGTCTTTTCATCGTGATCACTAATCACTATTGTTTTGAATATTGCCTTAATGGAGCAGAGGTGGCTTATTGGTGTCTGGAAAAGTTCCAAGAGAAGTGCTATGCAGAGTTCTTGAAAAGAAAGGACTTAATACAAATCATTAAAGATATGGATGCAGGAGCTATTACTTATTTTCAAACACAAGATTGTTTGACTAAGTATTTTCTTATTTCGGTTGGATTACATCAAGGATCAGCCTTAAGCCCATATCTTTTTGCTTTAGTCATAGATGTTCTCACTAGACATTTGCAAGAGGATGTACCTTGGTTCATACTTTTTGCTAATGATATTCTTGTTTATTAGACTAGAGAGGGAGTTGAAGGTAAACTTGGATTATGGAGTACAACCTTAGAGTATAAAGGTTTTCGTTTGAGTAGATCTAAAACGGAATATATGGAATGTAATTTTAGTAGTAATAGACCTAGTGAGGGGATTGTGACTTCAGGCAATCAAGTCATTTATAAGAGTACACGTTTTAGATATCTTGGATCTATTGTTCAGAGTGATGTTGAAATAGATGGGGATATTATCTGCAGAATTCAAGTTAGATGGTTGAAGTGGAGGAATGCATTGGGCTTGTTGTGTGATGGAAAAGTACCCCTCAAACTTAAGGGAAAATTCTATAAGATAATGGTGAGATTTGCAATGCTTTATGCTTCTGAATGTTGGCCATTAAAAGAGAAGCATATTACTAAGTTATGTGTTGTAGAGATGAGGATGATTAGGTGGATGAGTTGCTTTACCCTTAGAGAAATGATACGAAATGAGCATATACATGAAAAGGTTGGAGTAGCTTTCGTGGAAGATAAGATTAGAGAGAGTCTCCTTAGATGTTTTGGTCACATAAAACAACGGCCTTTCGATGACCCGGTTAGGAAAGTAGAGGTATTAGATTTGACTTATGTTAAGAAAGGTAGAGGTAGCCTAAAAATTCTTGGTTATAAAATATTAGAAATGATATTTCTTTATTTGATTTAAACGAGAATTTGACTTTTAACATGACAAATGGATAAAAAGGATTTATGTAGCCGACCCCACGTAGTGGGACAATGGCTTGATGTTGTTGTTGTTGTATGGAAGATTTTCAGAAGTTACTAACTGTTTTTACGTAGGGCTGTATGATTTGGTCTTGTTATTGATGCAGAACAATGATTAATTTGATGATTTTTGGGTGATGGGTGCCTGTTGATGATCACTTTTTTGATCATATTTTTCTTTTCCTGAAATTATTTGATTTCTATTTTAGATTCAGTTCCCTTTGAAAGCGTCTCTTGAATTGGGCTTTTTCTACTAAAGGAAGCGCCTCTGGATGCGTTTAAGACAACCTGGGAATTCTTGAGAATTTCTTGCCTTGCTTCTCAGTAGTAGAATGATTTCCATAGGTTAGAATTCATTGTGAGAATTTCTCGGGATAGTGCCAATTAGGGAGGGTGTGATACAGAGAGAGATGCATAAAAGAGGTCTCAACAATTAAAATTTTATGATAGGTGAGAAAGTTACTGTGATTAGATAGAGAAGTGGGAGGATAAAAGAGAATACTGGGTGGTAATAACAGGAAAAATAAGGATTTGATTTTAATTTTTTTTATAATGGGTTTATTCCATTAGATGACATCTAGTTATAGAAATATGGTTATATGATAATTTTTTTTAGTTAATGCTATGTAATTTTTTAGAAATCATTTCATTTATGTTAAAAATAATTATAAAATATAATGCTTTTAAAACTAAAATAAAATATTATAAAGGGCCCAGAATACTAACATATCCTTGAAATAATCTAAAATTATCTTTGATTCATGTCTTGTGTTGCATTAACTGCTTGTGGCTGAGAGAACTCTTCTCCTATGTATGACTCAATAGAGCTTGTTCGTGAATTACTATTGTATCATCACTATTTGTTGTATAAGCATAGGAAGTAGAATCTGAAGGCTTCAAATTGAGACATTGTCAGGCATCACACATTTTTCCTCAACTTGTACCAAAGAGGAGGATCCTACGGTCACATGTTAGTGGTAGAAGTGATAGCTGAAATTCATATATCTATATTCTTGTAAGGAAGCGTGCAACAAGTTCTAAACTTGTAGAATAATTTGCTTATCTAGAGGAGAATATTGCGAAAATGCTCGAATCTATGGATCAATATGTTTCTTTATTTTACTAATAATAATAATGAAATATATCTTAATCTTAATAATGATCTTAGACACAATTGTTGGGTTAGGCTAAATAAGTTTTGATTAATGTGCGCGCTCAACATCATCAAGTTCTTATGTAATGCCCATAGCATTACATTAATAATTCAATGATATGAAAGCAAGAGGAGGAGCCTTCTAGAAGATAAGTTTCTCCAGAGCTTGTGGTAGTGATAGTGATCGAATTGCCAGTTCTGTTGAAACATTAGGTTCAACTATAGTGGGAGACAAAGGAGAATGAGATGCGATTGAAGAAATGTAATGCTTATTTGTGTTGCCTGGTAGAGACAAGGATATAAGTGACATAAAATTTGAATGAAGGGATAAAACAGTTGATTAGAGGTGAGAGAAATGATTAGTGAATGAGATCAATGAAGTGGCCAAAGCTCTCGACGGCATGCCAATATACATTAGAATGCTTGGGAACTACAGAGCTTAGGAAGCGCAGGAGCACCTTGTCAATGGAAATGAGGTGACATGAATATGATTGTTGTTGTGTGAGCGACAAGAGCATTGGATCGAGCAAAGTGGGGGTTGAGCATAATTGAAAAAAATTTGGATGAATGTAGTAAACACGTGTGCCTCACTTATGTGTAGGTATCAAGACTGGAAAGAGCACCAAAGGATGGGTGATCATTAATCCTTTGACATTTTTTGGGACTGGATTCTTTTATTCAAAATTTTGTTAAGATGCACAAAAATTGCACAAAGGATCAAAACTTGTGGTTTTTGGGACTGGATTTTTTTTCGAGAAAATGCTAGTCTCTTTTGATGAAAAAAATATGTAGAGTTTGCTCCAAACAATAACTTATTGATCTTCCAAAAATTAAAATTTTGTGAGAATTTGAGAACAAATAAATCCGTCCAATGATTATGATTTACACTTGAAGAAAAAAAATTAATTTGTAGTAATTTACCAAATTCCAGTCGTACATGCTAAATTAACAATAAAGTATATTTAAAAAAAAGAATAATGATCAAAGTCATCAAATAAGATCCGTGCCTCATGTTGGTATAAGAAGAAAACTACCCTTGAAAGTAGTTATTGCTAGCATAACTTTGAGGAATTCACATCTAAAAACCAATTAATTTCAGATGAATTCTTATTTACGTTGGGCAATAGATTTAAGTTTATATGCCTTAGGAGTCATATTTATTTAGAGACTCTAAATTGGTACTTTTAAAGTGCTAGTATCTATTAAAAATTTGCAATTCCTAATTTCATAATCCTTAGTACAGCTACAATGCAACGGTTGCCAAAATCATATGGTAGCTGAATAGGATGTAGTGCAGCAGTCGAAATATAAGAAACCCAGCAAAGTGATAGTAGCCAATCACATGAAGAATGATAAGTTATAAACACAATATCGGTACTCAAGAATTGCAATCAAAAGAAATTTGTAAGATCAAGCTAATGCATGCATCTAACAAAAATTACACTCTGAATCTCCTAAAAGAAACTTGCATGATAAAATACAAGCCTTTTAACATCCTAATGGATCATGTTAATAAAATTGCATAAACAAATGGCACAACACATGTCAAAGATAAGATGTTGGCGATTGATTGGAAAATTCATCTTCGTTTCTCACACTAAAATTGACATCTATGTTTCATTTTGTGTAGTTAATTGATATGTGAATAATCACATAGAAGAAGTTTTCTTTTATGTGAATAATCCTCATCTCTTCAACACTTAACTTAATATTATGCTTCTCTTTTATGTCCAACATTCTACATCATAAAGCATTGCAGGTCTAACAACTATATTATAGAATTTTCACTTAAGTTTGAGGGGGAATTTTCTATCACACAACAAGTCCAATGCATTCCTCCACTTCAACCATCCAACATGAATTCTACTAATAATATCCCCATATGTTTTACCATCAATTTGAACAATAGATCCAAGATATCTAAAATGTGTACTCTTATTAATGACCTGATCACCCAAAGTCACAATCCTTTTACTAGAACTATTAATACTAAAATTACACTCCATATATTTAGTTTTAGATCTACTTAAACAAAATCCTTTAGACTCTAAGGTTGACCTCCATCAAGTTTACCTTCAACTCCCTCTCTAGTCTTATCAACAAAGAGAATATCATAAGCAAAAAACATGTACCAAGGTACAACCTCTTGCAATTGTCTAGTGAGAACATCCATGACTAAAGTAAAAAGATGTGGGCTTAAGGCTGATCCTTGATGTAATCCAACTAAAATAGGAAAATACTTGGTCAAACCACCTTGCGTCTGAACACAAGTAACAACTCCTGAATACCAATGTCTAGTGAGAACATTATTAACCCCCTTTTTTCTTGAACTCTCCATAGCACTTCTCTTGGACCTTTATTATATGCTTTCTCTAAATCAATAAATATCATATGTAGATCCTCCTTATTCTCTCTATACTTCTCCATCAAACCTCTCAATAAATGTATAGCTTCCATTGTAAACCAGCCCGACATGAATCCAAATTGATTTTGAGAAACGTTAGTATCACGCCACAACCTATGCTCCATAACTCTCTCCCATAGTTTTAAATTGTTACACATTAACTTAATACCTCTATAATTCGCATAATCTTGTGCACCTTTATTCTTAAAAATAGGAATCAACACACTCATTCTCCACTCATTTGGCAACTTTTTAGTTTTCAAAATAATATTAAAAAGTTTAGTAAGCCAAGAAATTCCTTCATCCAATATACCAAGGCATTTTAAAGTTCCCTTGAAAAATGTCTATCCTAAAAAAAAATAAGTAATAAGAGTATTGAAATCTTTATCGGTATTGAATGGGCACAATTTATAACTCTTCATTACTCCCCTTGTTATTGCTCATTTATATGAAAATATTTTGTCGCGTAGAGAAATAAGAAGCAAGTGATTGTTGTTAAAAGTAGACATGAATAGGATTCAGGGCCATGTCTTATGAAATTTATAAAGTAATGTGGCTTAAAAAGCTTGTTGAAACCTTAAAAAATTCTATTAAAGAATCAATGATATTGTTGTTTGAGCAAGCTATATTTGGCATTGGCAATTTTACTAGACTAAATATGTTAAGATTGATAGACGCTTATTGAAAGAAAATATTGAACAAAAATTATGAAAGTGATCTACACTCCTAGGAAATCCCAAACGACTACTATCCTCACTAAGGACTTTTGTCTAATACAACTTCATTTCTCAGCTTCAAGGCCCAAGCTAGGAATAATTAATATATATTCCTAGTTTGAGGGGAAGTATAGAATCTCTAGACATAAAAAGCTGCAGACAGTAGCCTTGCACTTGATTTGATGATGTTATGACTGCAACAATTCATGAATCAAATACAAATAGACATAAGGGGTGAGAAATCTTTAAGAAATAATCAAAAGGAGCTGCTAGAAGTCAGAATCCTATTCTAGATTGTTACATCAAGGCAGAAAACTATCAATTCCATATTTTTATGGCAATTAAATTTGCTTGAACTTGCTTGCATCCTATGATCATCCTAGCTGTACTGTCTTGTGCCACATGCTAAATAAAAAATCTCTTTAATTTTTTTATAGCTAGGAGAGCAATATAATGTATTTATTTTTCCAATATTTGGTCTTACTATCTTTCCTTTTTTTTACTTAGCATGGATGGTCGCTCCCATCCATATTTGGTCTATTAAACAGGCTATATCTCCTCTATATAAATTGTCTATGGCTTTCTAATTGGACTGAGAATTAAATTCTCTCTCTTCTTTGTTTCAATATGGTATCTTGTTTTCAAGACTATGTTTAAAGGTAACACAATTGCGATTTTTGTTTCTAAATTGGCATCTGTTCTTATTTGCATTGCTCAAAGTAATGTTTGTATAACTTTTTTGTCTTGTTTAATTATAAACTACATGATCTGGTTGGTGTTTCCACTTGTTTGTTTCCTTGACAAGCAGTGTCCTATGCATTGACTTGTAGGTGGTGCGCTGGAACTACAGTTCAGATGAAAGAAAAGCTGTATTAGAGCTCGTCAGTTACATAAAGAGTGTTGGTTCAATGATGCAACGCTGTGACACACTTGTGGCAGATGCTTTATGGGAGACAATTCATGTAGAAGTGCAGGATTTTGTTCAGGATAAACTAGACACAATGCTACGGACTTCATTTCGGAAAAAGAAAGATCTATCAAGGTAAGGGAGAACTGTTGATATGGCAATTACCACTGATAGTTACTGATTAGCCTTTTTAAATGTACTAATGCAAAATCGATATTCTGTTAACATTTTTTTTAGTAGTAGAAGTATGATAAAAGTATGATAAAGTGTCCTAGGTTAATAATGGTTATGATTCTCCTAAAAGTTTCATATATTTTCATGTTCCAATAATGCATGCAATTATCTTGTTAGTTATTTTGAACATCACTCTTTATGAATGGTTTCATTTTTATGTGCTTATGCTGAAAATAATGTAATGATTTGTTGTTGATAGTTTAGAATACTACTGTGGATTTTATAATTATTCACACTTTTGAAATTTTAGATGTCGTATTCTAAATGTTTTGCATAACTAATAGTTGGAGAAAATGATCAAAATGCTATATTGATTCTTTATGAAATATCAAAATAGTCCCAAGTATATTAATTGACCATTTTTGTACCTCTCCTTAAAGAGGAACCAAAATAATCCCACCATGAGATTATTTTGATTCATTTTTAAAGAGTCGAGGGACCAAAATGGTCTTTTAATATAGTTGGGTATCATTTTTGCCCTTTATAAAGAGTCAAGGGACCATTTTGATTATTTTCTCCTAAGAGTTATATGGATACTAGTATTGTTCCAAGGCGTTGCAACCTGGATATACTGTGAGGGGATGCAATTAAAATTACCAAAAATATTAGTTGATTTCTTTACTAGGCCATCATTCAAAACTGCTCTTTGGCAGTATTTTATGAAATATTGCTGGGATGTTTTTCCAGTCAACTGCACCTGGGATTTATATCATGGTTTATCTTTTTTTTTTGTTGTGTTTTTCTTAGCCTAGTTGCATATACGTGTACAATCATGTCTGTGTGTGCTTATGCTATTTAATTTTTCTTGAAGTATAATATTATAACCAGAAAATGATATTAGTTAATGAGGGCAATTATGAAGAATTGCTAGTGAAAAACAAGAGAAATACAAACAAAATCAGGAAAGAAGATAATATGAGACCAATGATGCAGTATCCAGTGGATTATGGAAGTTACAAAAGAAAAACTCATTTGGATAGTCTTGCTTGAAGGCTTAGGAATACAAGGGAGTTGTGATCTATTTTTTTTGGATTTCTGCCCTATCTGGTAAACAGGGATTAAAATCTCCTATTAACCAGAATATTGTTGCTTTGAATACTTATATTTGGAGCAGAAGACTGTTGAGAATCGTTACAATGACTGGATCCACAAAATGGAGGGAGCTGGGGTGTTCTGGAAACATGATCAATCTCAATAATAATACCAGCTAATGATGAATTTCACATCTTTGTAGGGCAAGCAGCAGCAGGCATAAATGTCTCGAGTTCGAAAGGAGAGCTTAAAATTAGTTCCAAATACCGAGTTTAGACATCATCTGATGGAATATCATCCACCAAAGCGATAAGTGGTCGAATTTTAACATTTGGTTGAACCTCTTGTGGTAGAAAGTTAGATTTCCTCAACTCCAAATGAATCTTGAAATAATCTAAGAAATTGTGCCAAAAATCTTATATAAAGAACAATAGGAGAGCCTTCAAATTTCAGCCCTCTTCTTATGTCTAGAAGACATGGTGCCTATTCACACACATTTTCAAAATTAGAAATGTCCAATTCTACCAAACTCTAATTATAGGTATAGAAAGACAGGAGTAGTAGCATCCACTTACAAATGTTTTCAAGTTATAGATCATAAGAAATATAAAGTGGATTGGTTGAAGTAATTGAAGTAGCAAGAATGTGATCCTGATAGGAGATTCTTCAGAGGAATAAAAGTGGAGTTCCACTCTTACGCACATATCACATAGGTATCGACACTGAGACAACTCAAGAACATTTGTGAAAATTACACTATAAAATGTCCCCAAGGGCAAAAATAGACTAGCATTCACCCATTACACAATATGAAATGACTCGAGATCATGAAACAAATTTATATTCCACAATTTTAATTGCTTTTAAGTAGGGACTGCTGAACCATTCGATTCTAGCCACCATCGTCTTGGAACAAACACTTCACTACTTCAGATGAATTTTTTTCCTGCCTTTGACCTTGCTATCTAATCTTCACCGTGATTGTTTGCTAATGCATTTTCTATCTATGACAGCCCTTGATCTAGCAGCTTGTAATATTTTTCCTTATATTCAAATGTAGCTCGGAAATCTGATCATTCTTTCACTCAGTCAAATATAATGACCAAATTGTGAATTATTGGATCTAGCTTCGATCAAATGAGACCTAGAACAAACTAAGCTTGCTCGAGAATGGATTACTCATTGATGCCTGTGCGTATAATACATCACTGCATGCTATTGAATTCAATAGCGCGTCTTTGTCATTCATTTTGGGGTATTTTGGAGTATAGTGTTTTGTTGGGATCCCTTACCCTTTCTACTGTTTAGATATGAGGTGTTAGCGAACCAAATAGTCCCATTAGGCCCTAGTTGATTTATCGTGATCCAAGTTGGCTCTTACTTCACGACCTAGAACCAATGCCATTGTTTCTCTTTTCCCCTTGCAGGTGGCTTTTGATAGAGTTTTTAGGACAAAATTTTGCAGTTCGGTATGGGGATACCCATCTTGCATTTTTGACCGTTCAGCCACCCCATAAGTTTATAAAATAGTTTCTTGCGGCATGATAAACTTGGGTTTCACTCCATAGGCATTGTGGTCCAATCGATAGTTACTATATGTGAGTTTGAACCACTACTTACCAAATGTGAGTTCAATGATTAGATATTTGTAACAAGGCACAATCTTTTGAGTTTGTTTATCTTTTTAATATTATTTACTTATTAAGCGGAATGGTTTCAGCAAGACTTAAACGGTAACTTTGGTTTCAGATAGCCAATATAAAGTTTATTTTCAACAGTTTGTTGATATCATATCTTCTGGTTCTCAGTTTTGATTTCAATTTCAGTTTCTTTTGAATAGTATTTACATAAAGTAAACCAAACTAATTAATTAGAATATTGTAACATTATCTATTTTATTCTAAATGAAATTACTTGGTAATGTTTAAAACGTTTAATATGAATTACAATTAAAGGGATATCCAGCCTATAACATCCTTTCATACAAATGACAGTTACTTGCATGTATTATTTAAATCCAAAGATTGGTGTTGTTATAATGCATTGTTTCCTGACATTAAATCTCTAAGCATCGGATATGTATTTGCTTTGATGTTTTTTTGAGACATGCGGCCAATATTGTTTCCATTCAGCTTTCTATTAAAGGCAAAGCTAGTAGTGTATGATTGATGGCTATGTGACATCGTCATTTAATTGATTTTAAAGTCTTTATTAAACAAAATTAAGATTGAATAAGCTATCAATGTTTACTTTCTCATACATTTGACATCTTGATTATTTTATTTGGTTTAGTCTACGTGGATGTCTTAAAGGCTTATATGTTGCATTCTTCCTTTATGTCCTATTATTCTTTTCTTGTTGATCCTTATCATGCTCGAATATTATTTTCTAAGGCTTCTGAGCTGGTTTGATGTAAAATTATGTTTGACTATGTAATCAAATTGTAGAAGCAGTGGGCATCATTTTGCATTGATTGATTAATAGATTAGGTAATAGGAAGATGAGCATTCATTAGTAATGGAGGGCTTTGATAAGTTGATATTTCAAAGAAAAAGAATATTTTTGTTTAAAAAAATTGTTAATCCATTGGTAATCTGTGGGTAATCATATACCATATATAAATAAGGTACTTGTTTTTCATAGACTTTTTGGTACTAGAATTGTGGTTCATATATCTGAAGTTTTCATGACAGCTTTATGCCCAGCAACTAACGGATATATTTTTTTTTTCGTGTCAATCTATAAACTTATAGGATTCTTTCTGATATGCGTACGCTTTCAGCGGATTGGATGGCCAATACAAGCAGGCATGATACTGAATTGCATGCGTTGCGCCAAGAAGGTGAAGAGCCTAGGCCAAATATATTTTATCCAAGACCAGTTGCACCTACTGCTGCCCAGGTTATATTTTGGATATTTTTTATAATTAAAATTTAATTTCTTATATGGATTCTTTCTGATATGCGTACGCTTTCAGCGGATTGGATGGCCAATACAAGCAGGCATGATACTGAATTGCATGCGTTGCGCCAAGAAGGTGAAGAGCCTAGGCCAAATATATTTTATCCAAGACCAGTTGCACCTACTGCTGCCCAGGTTATATTTTGGATATTTTTTATAATTAAAATTTAATTTCTTATATATATATATGGTGGGCGGTATATATAAAAGCTGAGATACTAAAGATTAAAAAATCTTTAGCTCAATGTTTTAAATTGCGTATTCGGGTATTGAGGTGTTTTTCATTCGTAGGCGAGGCGTAAGCCTCAAGGCGTTTTGGGCGTAAGCCTCAAAATCAAAAGATTGCGTAAACATAAAATGATAATTTTTTTATATGCTAATGAAATGATAATATAAAACATAAAAGCAAAGATATGAAGGTGAAATCAAAATATCCCAATATAAGACAACATGAAATATAGTTAAACTCAAAATTCTATCTTTCCCAAATCTTAGTATATTTTCATTAAAATATAATTTCAATTTCCAAAATAAATAGCAATGGCATATCACATAAAGAACACATAAGTCATCAGCACTGTCATCACTAAGGGGTTCTTCATTTGAATCATCATTATGATGAACTGCTGTCTCTCCCCTTCCCTCTCCTATAGAGTCCAATGTCGGGCATTTACTTCAAAGATTTATGTAAGTTTTAATATATAGCATTGAGGCGTAAGCCTCACTGCCAGTGAGGCGAGGTAGGCCTCAACCAAGTTGAGGCGCAAGCCTCATAAAAAAACTCGAGGCTTACATCGAGGCGTTTTTTTACTGGAATTGCGCAAAGGCAGCTCAAGGCGAGCCTTATATTGCGCAATTTTAAACCATGCTTTAGCTAAAGCAAAATCTAGTATGATCCACCCCTTATTAAATCGCTCCAACCATACCACGAAATGTTTTAAAAATCTTTCTATCCTATGACACATATTCATTTTAATCTCCTCAATATAAAAACTTTTTAAAGATATACTTATAGTAATTATTCCTAAGTCATTTCAAATTTTAATTTTAACACATCCAAACCTATTTAACAACATAAGAACATAAAATAATTAATACTCTTAGCCATTACAACAATCTTCAAGCTATAATTCAATGCAACATTTTTTAGTAAGACTCCTACTGAATCCATAATTTGAATCCTAAGCTATCAACCTCCTTAGTCTTTTTTCACACCAATTGAGTTTCCTGAATACATAGCATTATATTTACCTTGAATATAATATCTATATAATTTTCATAAAATTTCCTGTAAAGAGCAAGATTCTAATTTCTATCCTAATAAGCTTTGGCACTTTGCACACTAAAGCAAAAATAAAACTCTTGCACATTACATTATGTTGAGCATTTGAAACACTAATTTAAATATCAAAGTTAATTATATGCAAAATTTAATTCCTAAGCCAAGGGGATAGAGGCAGGATCTATCAAAAAAACACAATTTGAATGGACAAGAAGGATATCTTCCGTAAATCTCATGATTCCCATGAACAGAAATTCGCCCTCATTTTGTGGAGAACTTATAATATGATTCTGGTTTCCTATAGGCGCAAGCCCTATAGTTAATTACCCCTCCCGATCACGAAGAGAACTTTCGATTAAGACTAGTCGTCAATCAGATACGTAAAGATACATAACGCAGCATACTGGAAAAAAAAAAAAGAGAACAATCCCAAAAGCAATAGGAAATTGCATGCAAACGGGCCTGCATAACAGAAAGGCCACAAGGCAGCAGCATAAAGTGAACTA